GCTTGTTCATTAGACTGCATACGTGGTAGTAGACAGCCGTTTGGAGCTTTTGGCGTGCTCACAAAAAGGAAGTTGTGGCTCTGAGAGCCGATCATGTCCTCTGCACCTTCATAACATACACGACAGTGGAGGAGGAGCCGTAGTATGAGGCATGAGGTAGCCATTCCATGCCTATTCGCTGCCATCTTCCAGAGCTCCGTGAGTGAGTTCTGTGGCTCGTAAGAGTTACGTAATGGATGTGCGCTATCGAAAATACACAAAAAAGAAAACAGCGGTTCGGGCGCTTTTCAGAATGGATAGTGGCTGTCCAACCGAGCCCAGTTTCAAAGAGTGTTATCAAAAAAGGAAAAATTGATTGTTTGCTCTCTAACAGACACATCATCTTTTTCTGGACAACATGAGTGGTTTGTCCCGCGTAGAGACAGATGTTGAAATACGGTGGCGTGGTAAATGCTGTCGGAACCCAAAAAGAAAATATCGGTGGGTGAAGTCATAAAAGTAATAATAATAGTAATAAATGGCATATTCCCCGATAATGCGAGGTCCAATCCAACTCAGTAGACTGATCAAAAATGTGCTGCCAGAGCGCATAAAAGGAATGACAGGATGTTTCTCAATGCGGTTTACAAAGGATTTCGGGGTTGAAGGTAACAAGTAAAGTAATACGGTCATCCGTCAAACCGTATTCTGGGAAGCTGCCTCCATGCAGGGTATTCTACTGAAAGGTATCACCCTCAATTCCGTGTCCAATCTAGGCCGTGTGCAAGGATGGAGTAATAGCATGCTTGCCACTACCACTTTTACACACCGTTAGGAATGTATACATGCCATCAAGTAATCGACTGGTTTTCCGAACAACCACCTCGTGGTGTCAGCTGGGCGGTTCGAGCATGTCCCGCTCCGAGGAATGGTTCGGCGGCGATGTTCCAGGACGTGGTTGGTTTACGGTTGGCAAGCGCTCTCCCCATAAAAAGCCGCAAATGTTTGCTTAACCACACAGTGAGGTGGCGGATGTGGCTTGCCACCAAAAGAAGTCAATGCTTCTTGTCTTCCTCAGAGAAATTATACATCGGCAAGTAATCCGAGCATCGGATTCTGCCTTTGACTTCAGGAGTATTGAGTCCCTGATATGTCTTTTCGCCACCCGAAACTAGTATAAACTGAGCGTTCAGTCACCGAATCCCAACGGGTGCGACACACCTCGCCCCGCTGTCTTGTAGGTGAGGCTCTTTGGCCAAAGGTACGGGGTGGTCGTCACCTAAAACAACCCGACTACTCTGCTTAGGCAACCACGTAGTAGCTCGCCTATTGATGGATCATTGGAACCGCACAACTACGTTCACTCTCTTCCGCTCTCATGATGATCAACTGCCATGCTATTAGCCAACTTCACAAACGCACGCCACCAATTTACTTACCTTTCCCTCGTACCATTCACCCCCACTGTTACTACATTCTTCAACGGTGAACGACCCCGCCTCCGCTGATGAAGTTATTTACCATCCGTCACCTCCATCACACAGTCCTCGACAGGGAGCTGCCAACCCGGAAGTCTGCTATCTTCGCTACTGCATCCTGGAATGCAGTTCAAACTGGCAACCTTTAACGTGCACACATAATTGAAAACCGGGCAGCAAGCTGAACTTGTACGCATGCTGGGGATCCTTGCAGTCGACGTGTGCTGCCTCAATGAAGCACGATTCCAGGAATCCAACAGTCTATCAGCTGTCGTCACCAGGCCAACTACACACCCGATTCTATCTTCGCCATTTTGGCGAGACTCAGTCTGCCGCATCTGGGCAAGCTGGTGTTTGGATCGCTCCCAGTGCTAGATCCGAGGCAATCCTCCTTGATTAGATTCCAAACAACGGTCGCATTTGCGTTATATCAGGCCCCGTGACTCTTGCAAGGTTAGCAGACATCGAGTCAATAAGCGTGATCTTTTCGTGATCTCCACCTACGCGCCCAATGACTGCAGCTTGGATACAGTAAAAGAGCAGTTCTATCAACATCTACATGAACTGCTCCTAAAGGCGCCTATTATGACAGGAGACTGCAACTCACGTAGCGGTCAGCTGCTGTCATGTGAAAACCACTTCGGTGGACCACATTGGTATGATGGTATTCGCTCTGACAATTGAGAAAGACTGTTCGATATCAGTTGTCCACCAACTTTTCCACTCCAGTACCAGCTTTCCTCATCCTGGATGCCACTATGCCACCTTGCGTCTTCCAGAGCTGATCACAAAGCCATAAGTCACAGGTGACGAAGCAGCGTACGCGGTTGCCGATCATTTTCGTCAACTTGTGTTAAAATCGATCATGTATTGGTGTGTGCGACAGTTTTGGTGGCTAACAGCGCCAAGCAAACCAGAATGAAGACCCAAAAGATGGAGGATCCAACGGTGAAAAGGCAGTATTAACAGAGGGTTCGTTAAAATATCGCTTTCCCATTACACCGGATTTCTATCAACACTGGCCAAGTTCAAAAGCCGGCATGTCCAGCTGCGGTCTCACTGGCTGCACAGCGAAAAGTCGGATTTCAGTGAGATCCTCGGAATTGCTAGATCATCGAAGGGATTTACTCGCCGGTGGGGAGCATAACGAACGCTCAACAGCTGGCATCAAACCTTCCCTCTGACCGCGAACCCTTGTAGTCAAAACGAGTTGCTGATATGAAAGCCGCAGCATCGGTTAGAAACTTTCGCAGTTTGATTTGCCTCGCTAAAGCCACGAGCAGTAATTCACACCTAATCAGTCAGACGATCGGTGAGCTAGACGGCACGAAAACCACCAACTTACACATGCACTTGGGGCGATAGGCAGAGCACTTTGCTTTCCAATATAACTACCCAGCACAGCCCACCGTGAGAACTTAGTTCTCCTCGGATGGTGCCTGGCTTGCCCCCAACGATCCTCCTGCCGAAGCAGCGACTTGAAGTACAATTCAAGGTTTGAAGCGTCATAAGGCTCCCGGCCTTGACAGCGTACCATCAAATTTATTCAAAGATGGCAGAAATACACTTGTCAACGAAATCCTATCGCTGTTCCCGGAGATTTGAATTGACGAGAAAATTTCAATTGCATGGGGAGAATCGGTCATTAGCCCGGTTCCCGAGAAAGACTCGAGCGAAAATGGAGCCAATTACCGTGGAATTCTGTTGGTCTCTGTCGCGTCCGAGATTTCGTGTCCATACTATTCCGCAGGCTTCCAACGATTAAAGAGGGCTTTGCCCGAGAGGAACAAGCTGGTTTTCGTCCACGTCAAGGTTGCATAGACCAATCCGAAAACTTCCTGAACTCCACCATGTCCACCGACGGCCAACAATTGTAGTGTTTTTTGGACATCCGAGCAGCATTTCTTGCAGTAAATAGAGTGTTGTCGAACTATCTACTAAGGAAAGGTGCGCCCGACAAGTTCGTAAGCATCCAGAAGCAGCCTCATATCGGGCATATCAGGGCTAGTCGCAGGCTTTACTCTTCGTTTGCCGTCACCAGCGGCGTTCGCCAAGGTCGCCCTATTTCACCTTTCCTTTTCAATTTGGATACCGCAGATGTTATCTAACAAGCATTGGAAGGACCTTCAGACGAAGGTATTGAGCTTCTATCAGGTGACAGAGTAGCGGACTTGGACTACGCCGATGACACTGCTTTGCTGGGGGAGGACCTGTAAACCGTCCAAAACACACTGAACCGATTAGTGATGGAGGCGTCCAAATGTGGCCTGCATTTTCTGCAGGCAAATGTAAAATACTATTAAAAGATTGGTAAATGCCCCTGCTTGCCCTAGCCAATGCTGGTGACATCCTGAATCAAGTCACCTGCCACACTTATCTAGGGAGTTGCATCACGGCTGGCGGTGGTGTTGGAGATAAGGTCTCACAACGGAGCACAAAGGCTCACCTTAGATTCATCAGAGTGAGACAGTTATGGCGTCGTCACGATGTCAATCTCAAGCTCAATGGCAAGGTGTACATTGCCTCTGATCGTGCGGTCCTCTCGCACGGCAGTGAGACTTGGTCTATTCGCTCGGAAGACAAGAAACGACTGTAAGTTTTGGACAATCGTTGACTGCGTGAGGTTGCAACATCATTCAAAGGAACACAGAAATCCGAGATCAAGTGCTAGGAGCAAACATCCCATGCCTACAAAACGCTACTCCCCAAAAAATGTATGCGCTGGCTCGGCCACCGATTACGCATGCCAACCTATCGCCTTCCCCGTCGAGTAGTGATTGAAAAAATGCCGCGGTGGACAACAAATGAGGTGGAGAAGAAGCACGAAGAAAGCAATCTCAAGCTTAGCATCCATTGGAGCGGCACGAATTCCAGAATGGGGATTATGCGATTGGGATTCCCAGTGATTGGAAAAGCTGGCGATTATGGAGTGCAACAGACATCAGTGACGACCATGTTGTTCAACCGCATTATCCACTAATTAACGTCTAACAGTACATAAAAGTGCAAAAAAACAGAAAAAAACTCAGTGTGGCGTGTGTGAACCCCCCATAAAAACCGTTTTGCTCCGCTATGGTATTTCGTTCCCCAACATTTTTAGGATGGTTCAATCGCGAATCATATATATATATATATATATATATATATATATATATATAAGCATCGTGATGTATAAGCTTGGGAGCCAGAAATATCAGCTGATGGTGAGTGCAGAAGAGCCTTGGAAGGGCAGAGAACTACAGGGTATAAGTGCTTTAATCTATGTGCCAATCTGGTTCCATCGCAAGCCGGAACAATGTCACATCATGGGAGGTAACATGTCGATGGGTTTGTGGAGCACTGCTGAGCATGTGGAATGTGACACGGGATTAAGATGGAACGCGTTTTACAGGAGTATAAATGCAAGTTATAAGTATGCCAGTCACAAGTACGACACTACAGCGGAAAAAGGTCAAGGAATCGCCCGTAGATAGGATGGAAGAGTGAAGCAATAAAATTGCATACTGGATGTGTGAGAAGGTAACGTGAAATTTATCAACTCACTGTGAAAACGGAATAGCGGAGAGATCTCTCGACAGAAGGGAATAAGCTGTAATAATGGTAGATTGGAGTCCAGAAATTGGGATAGAACGGACTCCAGTAAGGGCAGCAGGCGAAGTAACAAATGTCCGTAGATGATAGGAAGGGGTTGTGATGGGGAGGGGGAGGCAGACATCCCCATTGACCTCGAGGTGTTATCAACGAAATATTGGTCCGGTAAGATGGAATGCAAATGCAAAACGCATTCGGGCCAGGTCCTACTTGACACGGGGTTAGGATGCAGGGATGGACGTCCAGTTGTAGGGGAGCTGCTGCAATCCATGGGAATCTGGGAGGAGGTTAAGATGGTTACACCAAAGAATATTGCAGGCGAAGAAAAGAGTTCGGAGCAACTAAGGCAGAAAAGAGTAGCAACTATGGAGCGACAGAACAAATTAAATGGAGGCAACACCAACACTGACGCGTTAGCCGCGCCAAGCTAAGCAAGATCCAAATAAGAGACCTCGATAATTGGAAACGATAGACACCGATTCGACTTCAAACTCTTTCAATCTTCTTGCCAGACCGCTGTTCGAAGACCATGGAATTTTAGTGATTAGGCACAGCAAAAAGTACGAAACAAACCGGGGTAGACGATTGGAAGATGTTACGCAGGCAGCCTAGGCAGTTTGAGTTTAATGGACTGTCCAATGCGTGTTACCATCCACCGACGAGCGAATCTCGGCAATGTTCACTCGATACAGCGATCGTGGACAAGAGGGCCGAAGATACTCAATGCGATAGGGAGTAAGATAGATTAGAAACGTGAAATACAGATGCATTAAAACAGCTAAAATTAGCTGCCAGGGTGAGGGTATGTGCAGGATATCTACTGAAAACCTCTTTATGATTACAATAACAGCACTAAAAGGTCGAATTGCCGCACACAGGCCTGTATGGAGAGATAACTGAAAATCGGCTCATCAGTTAAGTTGAAGAACAAAAATCACTTTCCAACTCAATGCGCAGTTGTGTTCATGGAAAGGCGTCAGCAGTACGCCTGTACGTAGTACCGGTGTTTCGCTGCCTCACTACCACCATCAGTCGCACGTGGGCTAAGGATACTGGAAGGGTCGCGCGGTCCATACGCAGGCTCAAAGGCAAGGCTTAGGGTTACAAGTCAGGCTTGTGATCCTTAGTGCTACAGGCCGGCGGCACGTTCAAGCGTTCAAACAATTCATGTCACTGGTCATTGAGATAAAAGTAAAGAGCACATGATGATAAGATTTGAGACGGACGAACAAACAACAGCTGATGAGGTGATAAAGACGGAAAAAGCAAAGAAGCGGGATTTATTTGATGCATCGCAATTAGATAAGAAGCCAAAAAGCCAATTACCAATCTATCGTTTACCGCAAAAATGAGATGAGCTAAAAATTTCATAAATGCGTCTACCCATAAGTAAGCAAAAAGTAACCCTAGGTCGTCAAGAATACAATGTCGTGGAGGGAGGTCCTGACACTGAGGGCCAACCACAGCTCTCTGCACGGGCAGTAGTCTGCACGGCAATGGTGGATGGGTCGGGCTTGATCGTAGTTAGATTTCAATCCATGATAGTCAGCTATCGTTTCCCATGGTTCAGTGGTATAGGCTGGTGGCTAGTGGCGTAAGCCACCTGAAGGGGACCGAATGAATACACATCACTAAAAAGTGCCAAGAAGATGAAACGGCCAGCTGGTGCTTTTTCGGTTTGGGAAGTGGCCTGGCTGGCATGTAGGCTAATTGTGATAAACTAAATAAATCCTTCTACTCATGTGTAGTATAGAAGCGATATGCATCGTGTCGCGATGTGTTAACCGATTAGGTCTGGGGCAAGCAGCTGTGCGCTTTATTCCACTCGCGTAGGCCGCCTCCCAACTCGATCCTCCTGGCAACTCCGACCCAGTGAAGCTCATAATTTAAAACAAAATGTTCCCTTCATAATTCCAAACAGGAAAATCAGAAAACGTAGATTGTGGGATGACGTCGCCATTTCGTTCATTCTTATCAATCTCAAAAGCATGCAGCAATGATATGTAAATGAACAACCAATAATGTCAGAGTTCATATATTACTCCGCATTTGCATTACCACGGTAAGCTTAAAGTCAGTCAGCTGTTTTTGAATGCACAGCGACGGTCGCTCGCGATCGATGGCCAAAGCACGTGAGGCCGCCGAGCGCGTAGTACAACAGTGAATGACTCATCAGGATTGACTCGGTGGTCTGTGGTAAGTGCTTTGTGACTGCCGAGGCGGCTCGATTTCCCAGGTTCAACCGATTCCCTTGTTACAGACATCATTCGGCTGCGTAATCCCTTGGGGATGTGTTTATTGACGCTGATACATAAACATTGGGTAGTGCGCCCAATGTAGCTATCTCTGCAGCTAAAGGTGAATTTATAGACAGTGGGAAGTGCATTACCTCGCGTCGGTGTCTTAATCGAACACATAAGCATAGGTCCTGTCGATGTGAGCAGCCGCAGTTCCACCGCACTATACGCCCTTTTAAGTGAAGCTCTGATCCGCTTCTCGGTGAGCTTCATAACGTGGTCACCTTTGAAAGGTAGCTCGATGAAGATCAGTTTTTTTGGAACTGATGGTACACGACCTCGCTTAGTTGCTTCACTGATACACTTAATGAACTGCAACGGATAACCGTTGGAATGTAGCGTGTTGAAAAGTAAATCCCATTCTGCTTCTATGGTGGCAGATGTGCATTTGGGACCGATAGAAGAGTGTGCGGATGAGATAGCGTTTGTGTTGAATAGGGTAGAAAATCGTAAAATCCAAATACTGACCAGTCCAGGTTGGCTTCATGTACACAGACCATCTGGTGGAACCGTCTGGTCGCCGTGTAATCAGTATATACGGAAGACAATTATCTTAATCATTATCACGCGTCACTGTAAGGATGTGGACATTGAGAATGCGACCAAGACATTCAACAAATTGCATCCGAACCTTATGTTGTACCAAGATAGACTGGAGAGATGTACGATGAAGGAAAGTTCGATCCTCGAGAAAAGAGAACAATGTGTGGTTTAGGACCGTGATTGCGAAATTTATTAGTGGTTTCTGGCGGACCAAAGCCTACAATCTAAGTATATTTAGGTAAGCAGTACTTTGTGATCGCATCGGCTAACGCATCTGAGACTAGGGCCAATCGCAGATTAAGAGTGCTGAGTATGCAGGTTGTTGGTCATATAGTGTACTGCTTGAGAAGAGTAACAGAAAACCGAAAGAATGACAGACACACACACAGTCGGAGAAAAACACGCGGATCTCCTTCAGCGCATCCACAACATGGGGCCATCAAAGGGGAGAATTACCCCCACCCTCTGGCTAAAGTTCGAAGAGGTATATCCATTGACTTCGCTTCAAACTCGATGTACTGCATAGGCAATGATCAGTCTGGTGTGAGATGATCTGGAGAGAGCCAGAAGTTCGAGGAACCACAGAACAACGCAAAACAGTGTACAAATATAAACTCCTGTCAGAGCGCATTGGACAGCGAATGTCAGCAGAGAAATATGCTGAAATGAGTTTCAAAACCAAGCAAACATGGACCGAGTGTGATTGATAGGACAACACTGCAGAAATCTGTCAACGCGAATAGGAGAAACGGTCTTTGAAGTAGGCACATTAATGATGCATAGTGGTAAAACTTAATTGCAACAGAGAGTGTAGTAGAATGAATATCCTTCCAACTAACAATGGCTAGTCAGCGCATCGCAAGCGACAGAATGTTCGGTGCCTTAGCGCCCGCACATACGGCAGATTTATGCACTATCTAGAAAAAGGTGGTGAATCATATCATAATGGATGTTGGGGCTTAGTGAACCTTTTCCAAGGAGCAAGAGGCATTGGTCGTAATTAACATTCGGATGCATTGCTACAATTAAATTTACAGCCGTACCAGTTCTTGTTGCCTACTAAAATTCAAATAAGTCGATTGACGATGGCAATCCAGAACGCCTTCATGTGAAGAAGCCATCTGACAACTGCGAACTACGAAAGGATTATGTGGTAGGCTCGCTGAATATTTTACTTAAGTGAATCTCGCCCGAAAATATCAACCTCTACACCTAATTATCGAACGAACAGATGGAATATTCTATCAGGCAACTGTACGCCAAATGAAACCAAAGTAAACTATGTGAGTAGCATGGCGATATTTCACCGACTAATACTCACATGACAAAGACCAGTCTTAGCTAATAATTCCAATGTGAACAAAAATAGAGAGTGGCACATTGTCGCAAACCAAACTGAGTCAGTTTCATGGAACGGTATGCTAAGGTATTCAGAAAACAGTCTCATATTACCGGGAAACGAGCGTTCAGATATTGAATAGCACCCAACAAGGGGCCACTGCGAGTGAGAAGATGAACGAGTATTTGGTTTACAGCGTTCAGCTGTGCACCTTGATAGTTCGTATGGGTCATCTGTGAAATGAAGAATGGAAAAACAAACACAAAAATGAGCAATATTTAGAGATATGATAAGCGGCCACAGGGGACGGAGAGCAATGTTTTAAGCACTAAAATAACTGCGTAGAGCCGACGATACTCCGGGATCCAGTCAGCGAAATAGTATACTTGCGTAGATTGTTTGCAGCAGCTTCCAAATCACACAATGTTCCGCACACCAATAAAAGCACCAGACAGCAGTTTTGTCCTGTCGGGACTCATCAAAAGTGCGCATCCCTTAACTTTACTAGGAATCGAACCTGTTGCCACGCGATAACAGAGGCTTACGTCACTAGACCACGGGGGACAGTAGTGGACCATTATGGCATGCAGGCGAATCGCAATATAGCACTGTTCATCATTCGCTGTCATGCAAGTTACAAACTGTCGTACACAGCTGATATACAGGAAGCCGTAGCTCAGGGAACCAATCCTGTCCTCTATAAAGTTCAACACGTGAAGCAGTGAAAATGAGAGGCGCTATATCGCAACTACCTTACAAGTAATGACTGTCTGCTGGCGTCACCTGTGGCCCAGTGACGTAAGCCGCTTTTATCGAGAGGCTAAGGATTCAGTTTACAATGTAGCAAAGGGATGCACATTAATGACGAGTCCCGGTAGGGTGAAAGGACTGTCAAGCAAATTGCTGGGCGGTAAGGAGGCTATTGTGAAGAACACTTTGGTAATTTTAACAAAAATCCCCTACTCATATATATATATATATATATATATATATATATATAATGAATTTGTTGAAAGCGTATGGATGGGAGGCAGAATACTTGGCGTTGAGCCCATTGTATTTACTTACCAGGAATAGTATGAAACGGTCCAAAGGAACAACGCGGTAAGTGACGCAAAGAGATGACAGCGCAGAAACGCACTGAAAGGGAAATGAAACAAGAAGAGAATTCGTCTATTCATCATATGGCTAGAATAAATTGCGTGTCGCCATATGGACAAAATGCATCAACAGACGTAGCGTCATGAATACGGCAGGTATCTGCTTGGATGCATAACCAATATCAACAATCAACTGTCTGAGAGAGTGGTTCGCGATGCAGCCGCCGCCGCCTGTCCGTCAGGCCTGAGAGTATTTCGGTATCAATCAGTCCAAGACATAAGAGCGGTGAGCTGGGAAACACCAATGTGATGCGGGTATGCAATCAAAGGGATGATGAGAGTTTACTTGACGAAACAAGCAGCAAAATTGCCGTAAATGAAAGTTTACTCATCTCCGATGCTAGGAGTTGAGAGTAGTTGCTCCTCAGTCAGAAGACTATGGTACTATCACCAAAGCCGCAATGATAGTGAGCATTAACAATAGTTGGAAAAAAGTGAGATTGAAATCGGAGTACAAAAAATGAGGGATCACGGAAAATTGGATAAATGAAACAAGTTGTAATACTATGGTCCAAGTGCAGAAGCAGTGAATGCTGTGGCCCGTTGCAGGTGATAAGCTAGTTGTTTTTGAAGGCGTTCAGCATAATCCATCCGTGCACAAGGAATAGATGGTATGTGGTTTTTAATGTTATTTGAGTAACCTCACTGCTGTCAGATCTAGCTAGTCACCCACCACACGCAGGCGGTAGCGTTGTCCCGTCATGACTCGTCAGAAAACGATTCCCCTCTGAATCTATGGAGCTTCGACTCCATAACCGCCTAGCATGTGACCGGAGGCATATGGGCCAGATTGTGGGTGACGGCGTAGGGCCATCATCATGTATTACTTGTGGCGATGTGACGAGCTCATAGTCAATTTCCGTGCACGTTATCAGAGTGCAAATAGCATAATTGATCCCCAAAGTTGCAACTTCTCTTGCTACAAAAAGACGTTATCAGTAGTAGAAAAGGGATAGTTGAAGCGTCCTAAGGATAGTATCTGTGGTCGGACCCAGTTAGAGGGACCTCAAAAAAGACAGGATCCCCTAAGTACTAGGGAATCCATAGGAGGGAGTAAAACTGACGCGATAACTAACTCCTCGGTTTATTATTATGTGCGAATATACAGATAGTCAAAGCATGCGTTGAGGGTTGAGATTCCGTAGTGAACGCACATGAGGAAAACCATAACGATTTGGATAGCCCGAAGAGCAGATGTGCGTTAGAAACGCTTGTGAGACAGTGCACCACTAAGCGGCGCAGTGTTAAACAGATTGCTTGGTCTAATTGCTACATGCATCGAGGGAAGTCAGTGATAGGAGCCAGTTCTCTTGGACACAAACTGTTATTCGATTGCAATGAGACACAGTGGATGCAGTTCTGCTGACTCATTCGAGTGAGCTGTTCGAAATAAAAGACCAGAGAAGAGGAAAAACAAAAATTAAGAAATGTAGAGTGCAACATGCCAGTAGTGAGGGAATGAAACATCAGAACTCGAAGGGGTGTCCAATGAAGGAACACAGATGAGCACCAGACGGTCAAATTTCAGTTGTAGTAAATGGAAAAGGCATCAGCAGTACCGACGCTGCGCTGCCACGCCACCACGACCAGTCGCGTGTCGGCTAGGGATACTGTGATCCACCGACGCCTACGCAGACTCAAACTGTTAATACAGTCCAACCTGCTGTGGCGACCATCTGGCTTTGGAGACCAGCTTTAAACATCCCCAACATTTTCTCCCATGCGTAATGTCCCTATGCATGAACTTGTCTATGGCGACCACTTTTTGTTGATCTCTTGAGTAGTCGCCTTAGACAGGTTTGATTGTATATGGATTACAAACCAGGAGTACCATCTACTCGGCCACCAGCCGATAATAAGAACTACTGAAGCAGTGGACACCGTAGTCTCCCAATAGAAAAACGACACACAGCAACGCAACCCAGTGTTTTGGTCATTCATCTTATGCTTCGCGGTTTTGGGATCGCCCAACGGCACTGGTGCACACGTCGGGTGAAGGGTACACGGGAGTCTGGTGGTCAGCGGGAAAATAATGTTCGATCGAACGGCCAAACCAACAATCGAATAATGGTAACCGAAACAAATAAAAATGTGAAAATCGCTGCACTGTTTCAGCAAAACCAGGGTGGGTAAAAATGAATTGGCAAGAGGCACACCTCTTGCTAGAAAAGTAAACGCATTGCATCGGCAGTGATGAGATCGCTGGGTTAATTAAACGTGTGGTGTCCGCGCTTCTATTCATTAAGGCATCAGCGGTGTGTTCCTACCTTTTACCGACGAATACATGATAAGAAATAAAAAATGGATCAATGGGGAATGGGAGCCTGCGACGCCACTAGTACTTGCGAGTTTTAATCAGTGACCAGTAGATTGAAAGCGATAGGCGTGAACCACTTCGCTACCGGTCAACCTGTAGGCGAACAGCAGCATCGATCAGATATGTGGCATAAACAAGTGTCGAGAAAACCACAATGACATTTCCGAAGGCCACCAGCAATCTACCGCGCAAAAGTTAAATTAAAATACGGCATGAAAATAACACAGAGCAAAGCATATAAGTGTATTGTATTTTAAAAATAATTTTATTGGATTTTCCCTGGCTGATTGGTGGAACCTAGCACAGCCACGAGGACTGCGCACCCCATCCCCTCCAGCAATAACCAATTATCTCCTGGAGTAAGTATACACGAAGTAGTGGGTAATAGATATGTAGGCACTTAATCAACCTGCACATCAAGCGAAACCACACCGGGGAAGTCAAGCAACAGTTAATCACTTGCAATGACAATATCAAAGAAAACAGATGGAAAACACCAGATGGATACGACGACATAAATCGCCACTAAGTTAGCATACGAAATAAATGGGTTATGAAAATATCCGCGATGAACTCAAGGTGGCAGAACAAGATATTAGAAAACCTATGCAACAAAGTTGGAAAAAAAGGAACGAAGTTAACCGCTCTTCGTTTAAGCGACATGTGCAAGTTAACAGAAGATTATTCAGATAGAAGGAAAAATGAGGTAACAAAAGAAGCATTAGGACGATATAGCAAACCAACCAGCTGAAATAAGGAAACCCAGCACCAAAGTAGGAAGTTAGTAAAGCGAATAGAGGCGCACGCAGCGTACTTACAAACGCTGCAGCGCTTCTCCTTACGTTCTCACAGCACCCGTCGTCGTTTCGTAACTGGTCGCGAGTGGCCTTATTCACGGCTCACAAAGCCTGCTTGACTCATGTGCAGGCGACCGCATGTGTTACAGCACCATGCGATAGAGGTCTATGGAGTACAACCCATCGATGCTTGCCGCTTCTTCTCTGCATGCATGAGGTCTTTCTCCCGCACTTCGGCAACTGCCTTCCTGATCAGATCGCGACATGCACGCCGATAAACCGCCTTCGATTCCCATGAGCTGCAATCAAGCTTAGAACGTGAAAGGCTCACTTTGATCGTGTCCAGTTAACGAAGCTTCGGTTTCTCCACATGCCGCTTCTTCATACGCAGCTGACCATACACCAGTTGCTTGGGTATCCGCGTCGAATCAATACGCCAGACATGACTGAGGCACCTCAGGTGTCTAAGCAAAAGTATGTAGTCCAATGCATACATACCACTTCGGTGCAACACTTCCGTGTCTGCAACTCGGTCGCACCAACCAATGCGCAGAATCCCTCGCAGACACTGTACATCGTCCACCTTCCGCTGCTGTATAGAACGGACAGCACCATGGATGTGTACACCATCAGTTGCGTGACAATGGTAAGCTGGTGGTTGTTCCACACTCGTTACTCAAGCTTCCCGAATGTCACCGTTGCCTTCCATACGCAGATACGAACCTCATTGTACATTTCCCGGTCAGTCGAAGCCACACTCCCAAGGTAGCAGAAGCGGGAGGTCGTTTCCAATACTTCAGTACCAGTGCTAATTCGTGACAACATTGTAGATTGTACCTCCGTTGACGGCTTGTGTTTATGGTGAGCTCGAATTTCGCCGCAGTGGAAGCCAGAACACTAGTCATATGCTGCAACTCATCCGCGCTGTGTGCAAACAAAGCGCAGTCGTCAGCGAACAGCAACATACGGATAGTTGTCTCACAGACTCAAGTTCTCGCACAGAAAAGACGGATGTTCAGCAACCCAACAGCAGTACGGTGCCCCACACGAACACCGTAAGCACAAGCTACACCAAAAGCTCAAGACATAATGGCATGAAGATAAATATTAAACAGGGCAGGAGCTAAGACCCAGCCTTGATTGATACCATAGATAACTGTAAAGTCATCCGAGGTCCCTCCACTCAGCTGCACCCTCGCCCGCATACCCCTGCGCAGGCATTCAACTAAACTTACAAAACTTACGCAAACTACCAAACGGATTCAACACGAGCCATATTGTTTCGCGGCTCACATTGTCAAATGCCATGGTGAAGTCTAAAGCAGTTGTTACGGCAGCTGGTGTCACACACTGCACTTCCCGTGCAACTGAGGAGCCGCAAACACCATATCTATAGTTCAAGTGCTCATTTGTTCGCCGAGCTGCGAAATTGGTTTGCAAACGTTTCACCGTCATGCGAGACGGCATCATCAGTGCGTCGAGATATGCAGTGTAATCTCGCTGATTGAACTGTCGACCCGTGATCGGCGTGCAGGTGACATTTCGAAAGTGACGGCTTCGATCTGAGTCCCGTGATCTCTACCCATTTCCCCGTGGCGGAGGTCGTCTATAGTGCTGCGACCCGAACGGAATCCGCACTGCTCTTCCGCCACGTTAGGTTCCACAACCTGACTGACGAGGCGGTTGAGCAGGAATCGGGCAATCACCTTGCACACACAACTCAGCAGTCTGATACCACGATAATTAATAGTACATTGCTTGCTTCCTTTGCACTATTACAGTGGCAGCACAAGGGCATCCTTCAGCTCAGAAGGCACTTCCTCCTCAATCCACACGCGTTGCACCAAGTGGTGCAGCGCAGTCAACAACGCGGGTCCACCGTGTTTCAATACTTCAGGTGGGATCCCGTCACCTCCGGCACATTTGCCGTTTCGCAGCTGAGCAAGTGCTCTGTGCGTCTCATCCAGTCTCGGCGTATCCGCCAGATCCGCCTTCACCTCGTGCTGCTTCAGGCCATTCAATGTAGGCCAGTCGATCTCTGAACGGTTGTTCAAGAGACAGTCAAAGTGTTTTCGTCAGATCTGCATTATGTCTGCAGTCTGTGTGCAGGTAGCGCCTGAACTACCATCGATCAGTGTCCTCAGAGGCTCCAATCTCGGTCCATACACCGCCTTCAAGGAGTCAAAGAATTCCTTGTGTTGACGGCGTTCAGCGTATCATTCTATCTGCTTCGCCTTCTCCGTCCACCAAGCATTTTTTATGTGACGGAGCTCTCGGGTCAGTCCCCGTCGAAGTTTGCGAAATTGACTATTCTTTCCCAAGTCACTGGGGTCTGACACATGTGCAGCAAATGCTGCATTCTTCTCCGACGCCAATGCGCTGATCGTCGCATTGTTCTCATCAAACCAATCAGGCCGCTTACAGTTTGCGCGCCCGATGGTCTTCTCGGCAGCAGCTGTCACCTAGTCGCGAATGTGGTGCCACAGGTCGCCCACTGTGGCTATGCAATCCACATCACACAGGCGTGCAGCCATCATCTTCTCCAGCTCAGTACGTTTCGCCACAGTACCGAGGGAGAGAATGTTAAATTTACGCCGATTCACGGCGGGAGTACAATACATCGATTTACGAAAATATATGTACAGTTTGGTCCGAACCAATTTGTGATCAGTGCCACACTCAGCTACACGCAGTACACGTGTCATGCGCACATCACGCATATCACGCTGACGTACGATGACATAGTCGAGCAGGTGAGTGTGACAACTCCGTGGGTGCGTCCAAGTTGCTATATCACTCGCACTCAGTGCAAACCGAGTCTTTGTGATCGTCAGGCCGTGAGTGGCACACAGTGAGATCAGCCTGCCGCCGTTCGTATTCGCTGGATCAATGCCATGCAGACCGATAACATCTGTCCACACTGATGCATCACGCCGAACGCGCGCGTTGAAATCACCCAGCAGAAATAGTCGGTCGCTCCTCGGCACAGATCGTATCACGGAGGATATCTGAGTGTAGAATTGATCACGGGTGTCAGACCGGGGTGGCCAGACCGTAAGTCATCATTCGCGCGCTGATGCTAATCGGTTCAAGCAATAGCTGGCCGTCAAGGCGATAGGATATCGCAAATAAGAACCCATGTTCACGTGGTGCTGAGGTGGCGTTTAGCACCCAGTAGAAGGTATAGCCGCCACCAGCTTCACGCAACTTACCTTGCACAGGGAGCCAGGTCTCACTGAGCGCCGCAATATCAAGGTTGTAGTGTGTCAGTTACATCGCGACCAGTGCACTGCGTCGCTCAGAAGGCTCACTCGAGTTCCGTTCCAGTAGTGTGCGCACGTTCCAGCACCCGATGCTGAGTGCTTTGCGCACAGGCATACGATTGCACTGGTGGGCAACCATAATCATGGTGGCAATTGTACTTCTGAGGTTGGCTTGAGGCTCCACCCGGAACCCTTCACTCAATATCCTGACTCATAAGGCAGTGGGGAGCAAGTCCAGCTTAGGAGCGTGGTTGCAGAGACCCATTGGGATCTGCTTCAGGTCCGTCGCACACAAGCTTTGAGGGTTTAGTTTTTCATGTGTTTTGCGACCGTAGTAGGATACGCACCTGCAACCAAGGCCGGATGCAGGAGGATTTGCACCAATTTGAGCAGGGGCTGACTGGCTTGAGGTTAGCAGCAGCAAAGCATTGAGCACTCTTCTACTGTTAGAGACAATGCGTGGCGCTCGTGCTCTATGCCAATCGAGCTGTGAGCTTATAACCCGTACACTTGTTGTCTCCCATGGCTAGGTTTTAGGAGAAGAGGGTCATCGACCACTTACTTACCTCCGAAGAGGATGGGGTTTGAACTAGGATACTGGCAGGGCGCCGACACCTGACAGAATGACTCGGGGCTTCAGACAAAGCCTGTGACAAAATATACACCTGAAGGGCATCGGGCATTCCTCCATGAGTCAGTGAACCCACTCACGCGGGATCGTGTGTGTCCTGGGTCTTAGCTAGAGGAACGGTGTAACCCAATTCCCACCGACCGGTCGCCACCAGGCGTCCGGACGTTGAGCCGACGGCACAACATTAGCCGCAGAGGGTCGACGATCTGTCAGGATCTCGCTATCATAAGACTCAGCGCATCATGGGCGCAATCGGCCATTACTACCATTAGTATTCATCAGCTTAGGACCAAACATTATGACAAATTCTCATCTCGACTACTCAAGGAAACTACCATGCTGTACAAGTTGACCTTAGTAACCGAACGTGAAACTTGCTTGTATCTCAAACAAAGGAAGCTGAGACTATCGGAGGGAACTCACACTGTGTATATCAATTCGTGTGTGACTGCGGAACCAGCTAGACAGACAGAATTAATGAAGCTCTGACTTCCCGAGTAAAGAAATAAGTGTCGAGATGGGTTCAGTATGAAAGTGCCCAGACCAACAGAATCCCTCAACTTCCGTGTCCACGTAGGCCGCCGGGTCACCGGACAAAGCTTGACAAGTTAAAAGCTGTGGTACGTAACACTAATCCCAGCTTCGCTCGGTTTGTTTAGGCTGTCATAATGAGCTTGGTGGAGCCTATGCGTTTGAAAACAATTATCGATACGCTGAAAGCTGCCCTGGACGTAGGCGTGAATTGCTGTCACTCACTCAGCACCTCAATTATGTCTGGAAGCAATCCGTGTTACCCATATCTATGTATGTTGGTTATTGGTAATGGTACTGAGACAATACAAAGTGCATGCATCCACCAGCTTTTGTCTTCATTCCGTGCCTTAATAGTTGCTGAAATGCAGTCGGTCAAGTTGCGACCCATACATGTTCATGCGTGGGTAGCGCAAATCGAGACTATTAATGCAACTGGAAGCTATCCGCATTGGGCCAATGTTAGTTGCGTTGATATTTGCCTACTGATGAGTAGCTAAATGAAAAACATGTAAATTTGTGAGCAGGCGAAGATCAGCATATGACGGCATTGGTGGTTCCGTGTTGCTCCCCCCAACCCAGACACCCCATAACCGGTTTCGTCCTCGTTTGGACTCAGATAGAGATAACCTGAACTGGGGTGGACCTCTAGACCTAGTGTTCAAAGGTTGACACCTTGACCACCATGGCTCTAACATCCGCGAGCAACGCTTAAGTTGGGAGGAGTAACACCGAACCACCAATTCGGATACGGTTCTTGTGAACGTAATGATGGAGGTCTACTTAAAAGAGGAGCGAGGTCTGAATAGAGATTGCGAGTCGCAATCCAACCACACAGCTGGTACACCAAATGATACTTGGGACATAACTCAGTAGTTTGAAACGTTCCAGCTTACTTAGCGCATTGAATCTTTAACAAATGTTCAAAGGTCAGTCTAGATGTAATATTGCTTTAAAAGAAGGATCGCAACCGTTCCTCCAGTTCTTCAACTATCTAACATTATATAGTGTACGAAAAGAGTGTGCGGGTTGGTCAGATCCTAAGGGGAAGTTGGACAGACGTTGAGAAGGGTCGAATCACCTCTGTGCATTCGAATGGGCTCCGCGGTAATCGCAGGTGTATTTTAGTTTAATTCATAACCCTCCCGCGGGTAATGCATGTGAAACACGCGTTGACCACTCATGACGGATACATTGAGAGCAGCGTGTGTATGAGGAACGATTGCAAACTTGTCAATTAATCTATAGGGTGGGGGGAGGAATTCGAGAAGAGAACTGCATCAATGTCTGCAGGATCAGCCACAATTAATGCCTAGACCAAATGCAAAGTTAGACAGGACACATGCGATAGTCGACTTATAGTAATACGCCGAAGGTGAAGCAGTGTATGAGCGGTAAAGTAAGTAGGAACCGAAGCGTAGACTCACGTTCTGCAGCATCAGTTCGTCGCAGGATTGCATGCCACACTCGCATGCAACAGTATAATCACACAATGCGCGTAAAGCCGCATTCAATTGGGCATTGGGCATGCGGGTAATGACACTGAAAAAGAGGATGATAGGAGCAGAGGCTAGATTGATGGGCCAACGGAGAAGATCGGTGAAGAGCGGTTACTTTGACTGACCGTCTACGGAAAAAGCGTCGATATGCGGTGAATTAAGCTTCCAAAAGACCGTGTCAACATGTAGTGTGCGGAGAGAGAGAAGTGAAGCAATCAACAGGGCTGAAAGCGATTCCATGTGATCAGCAAGCCACCGGGGCATAACTAAATACAAATAATGAGCAAGAAACTCACCATATAATCCCAAGCATGAGAATGAAAAGACGTAATTTGTGAGATAACATAGTCATTACGTGGATTCACAATCACAAACATGTAACAAGGATAGGTAAATCAAAAAAGTGTCATATGAGATCGCAGAAGGTTAAGCGTTTGCGCTACCTGAGTAGGCATACAGCTACAGTCAGCTATTTTTGAGTGCAAGGCGGTGGCTGCTCACGATTGCAAAATGTGAATAGTGACCACTGCAGGTTGGTTTGTTGTAGACAGATGTTCTGATAAAGCCGACTGGCCGCCGGGTAATCGGTACACCTATATACCGAAGACAATTGGCTAGCACGATTTCATCCGACACTGTAACGTACGGGTGTGTATTTTGTGTATCTCGGGTGATGCCAACAGTATTTTCTCAGTGCGCCTATCCGGTGAAGATGCAGCTTTAAGCACCGGCCAAGCTGGTGTTGGCATTGCCCTGAGTCCCCGGGCTGAAGCTGCTCTGGTTGACTGGATTCCAATCAGTAGCCGGATGTGTACGGTCCGATTGGCTGGCTCGTTCAAAGCTTCGAAGTCACGTAGGACCAACAGGTGTCTATTCATCATCGCTGCCTACGCGCCCACAAACTGTAGCGGTGATTCGGTAAAGAACGACTTCTACCGCGATCTGACCCAGCTCCTTCGCCACAGAAGAAACACGGACATTGTTGTGCTGGCGGGGGATATGAACGCACAATTTGGAAAGTTGTCCACTGATGAGATGCATCTGGGCGGTCAGCACGGTGTAAGCTCCCGTAATGATAACGGTGAGCGGTTACTTCATTTGTGTGAAGATGCGCGCTTATTTCTTGCGAGCACTAATTTCCGACACAGCACCCGCCGAAGGGTGACTTGGCGCCCACCAGCCTCGAACCAGCCTTGGACGCAGATCGATCGCATTGCGATAAGTTACCGCTGGAGAGGCTGCGTCCAGAACTGTCGCTCGATTTGGAGCACATGTGTGGACACCGATCATGCAATTGTATGTGCTGACATGCGCATGCGCCTTGGCGGACGCCCACGACGACGCTGTGAGCGCATTGACACCAGCCAACTGACAAAGCCAGCTGTTCTGAATGCGTATCGAAGTACGCTAACATGCGAGTTGAGCAAGCGCTCACAGGAGACAATTGATGGTCACTAGTCACATGTTCGCCAGACCTTACTAGCAGCAGGCAAATCCTCATGTGGTATGTCTAATAGACAACATGGACATTGGGTCTCTTCGCAGTCTCTGGAACTTAACGACGCTCGCCGGCATATCCCGGCTGGAAGCGAACACAATGAAACTCGCAAAGAGCTCCGGGTAAAAGTCCGCGCTAGCCTGAAGAAAGACCGCGAATTTTGGTGGTCTCATCGTGCGTCAGAGATGGAAGTGGCCGCTACCCTTGGCAACCATCGTAAATTATTCCGTCTGATACGGGGAACGGGCAGCAGGAGACCTGGTGTTAGTGAAACAATTTGTGATGAGAGCGGACAGCCTATCCGCATTTTGTCAAAACATTTGGAGCGTTGGGCTGAGCATTTTGAAAAGCAATTTAATCGGCTAGAATTGTTCGATTCGCCGGTCAGTGATCGCCCTGTTCCATGGACTGTCCCTTTGGATCCACCCTCTTGCTCAGAAGTCGAACGTGAGATCGGACTGTTGAAGTTGAACAAAGCCGTGGGACCAGATGATCTTCCTCCAGCCCTTTCAAATTCGGAGGCTCTGCTCTTGTTGATGCTTTACATAAATTACCGACTGGAGCCGTTCCGTTATTGTTCCCATCTTCAAAGGCGGCTCGCGCTCAGGATGCGGCAACCATAGAGGAATCAGTCTGATCTCCATCGCCTCCAAATTACTCGCCTCCATAATTCTTCACTGGACAGATTAGCACTGGCTGTCAGCCGCTTCGAACATTGCTTTGCACCATCGAAGTGCAAAGCGTTCCTCCAAGATTGGCAGGGATCGCTCCCTGTGCTGACCCTTGGTGGGAATCAGCTAGAAGTCGTTCAGAAATTCAATTACCTGGGATCAGCACCCTTGGGATCGAAGACGATATCACGAACCGAATAGGAAAAGCTCGAAGTGCTTTTGCTAACCTTCGCCACCCATGGCGGCGGCGGCGCGACATTACTCTCGCCCTGAAGGGTAGAGTGTACAATGCAGCGGTACGTTCGACCTTACTGTACGGTTGCGAAACCTGGCCTCTAAGATCGGCGGACATGAAGAGGCTAGTTACATTCGACCATCGGTGCCTTCGCAGTTTGGCTCACATCTGGTGGGAACACCGCGTGAGTAACGAGCGTGTTCGACGCATTGTTTACGGCCTAGGAAAAGGGTCTGAACCGCTCAACACCGTTATTTAACGCATCAGGCTCCGATGGCTGGGCCACGTGTTACACATGCCAGCCCACCGACTCCCTCGACCTGCGTTGTTTGCTCACCGGGGATGTGGGTGGAAGAAGAGGAGAGGTGGCCGAGCGATGACTTGGTCCAGGGGAATGAAGTCCCTCACTTCGGAGCTAGCCTCGGTTGGAGCGTCACGGCTCCCTGGTTGGGGTCCAAAAGACGGTGGACACGTTTGGCTGGATACACTTGCTGACATGGCAAGGAGCCGACCTCAGTGGCGTTTGTGCTGTGAGTTTCTTTGTCCCTCCCCATCCCTTTTAGCCTCCCCTTCAATCTACGATCTCATTTCGTAGGGTGAAACATAATAAACTTTTTTTGCTTTTTGCCTAGTAGCTGGCTGGTAACTTACCGGAACGATGCCTATCCGTTGCTGGTAGCTCAGCTGGCATGCAACTGTTGTATCTATTTTTTCTTTGTGTATTGCATTATATGTATGTATGTATTTCCTTCATGTATTGCGGCACAATAGCGGAGGTGTTTTCCCACCTCTAGCTGACGTGTATAATGATAATGATGATGATGTATCTCGGTCGCATGCGCAATGTCCTCATCCGAATCTGTGATTAGCAAAAGATCACAAGCATAACGCTTATATCGAGTCGTAGATCTTATGACGTTATCTGCCTTGTCTCCAATCATACCCATGAACACATCTTTTAACATGTCTAGAAACCTAAAAACCGCTTATCTGTCGATATGCCTAGAACTGAAAGTAAAATTTGATTTTGTTTGCATAAAAGCATGTCACGAAGCCGGATGGGATGTGGGACGACGGTATCGGATGAATCGGGAAAGTGAACAGCGTCGGTAGTCACAAAGCACTTGCTGGTCATGGGCCACCGAGTCAATGCTGATGCGTCGTTCCCAGTCCGAATGCGCGACCAACGTCTACTGGAACCCATCGTTATCGATCGTGAACACCCACCGCTGTGCACTCAAAAATAGCTGACTGTAGCTCTAAGCTTGACTGTGTAGCGCAAATGTTTGACCATCAGCAATGTCATATGTGACAGTTTTGTACAGCCCTTCAAAGATTCCTGTTTGTGATTGGGAAGAAACCACGAAATAACGACGTCACCTCACACTTGGAAGGAAAATAATTGAGCACTAGAAAGATCAGTAAGATCATGACAGAAACAAGTTTTAAATGATTCGTTGTACCAGACCACACCTTTAAATCGAGCAGCACATAGGCGAAGATCCCAGTGGGCAGTTCAGTTCGGTTTAGTTAACAACTATGATCCGAGCACCAGAAGTGCCACAACTCATACCAAAAGAACAACAATAGATGACATAGGCAAAATGGTGAAGCTGAATGCGAATAGAATGTAGAGAAAATAGAAGCAAGAAGGAAATGTATTAAACTAAACAGAATGGAACAAAATTAACAACCACATGCAAGAAACGAAGTGCAGGAACGCCAATGACTGCGCCATGTCTGACGCGGTCTCCAACCATTGGAATGTACAATGCCGAGGGCCCCATCTACCAAGATAGCATACAACAGGCTGATAAAGTTACTGGGTCAATCTCTTCATGCCACTAGGCCGCGTCATAGACTGGCCACCTCGCGGTTTCGCCCAACTTGGCGCGGCCACGGCGTATGATGCACACCAAGGAGGCTGGTCAACCGGCATACGGATGATATGGCCAAGCCAAAGTAAATGACTGTTATTCGGCAAACATTGCAATGAGGCAACAGAAGGTTTCCCGTCAAAAACAAACTGACGGACATCAGCATTGCTCATCCGGTGTTCCCACCAGACGTGAGCAATACTCGCAAATGCCGATGGTCAGACATGGCTAAGCGTTTAATGTCTTCGTCGCAAAGTGACCAGATCTCTGATCCGCACAATAAGACTGACCTTACCGCAGCGTTACACACCCTATCTTTCATTGACAGGCTGATATCCCCGCCGTCCCGAGTCTCTGGAAAGCCACAGGAGCCTTGCTGATGGGCGAGGTAAGTTGCTCTGCGATGTGACCCCCAGAAGCGACACCGTTACAAAGGTAAGCGAACCGATCCACCACTTCCAGTAGCTGTTCAGTGACAGATAGAACTGGAGATGTGTCGGTCTAGTCCTTCAATAGTACTTAGCACTTTGAAGGTGCAAAGCATATGTCGAAACGTGAAGCGAAATGTGCCAGTCTAGTAGTCTTCGTATAGCCACTGCGTCGGACCCAAGGAGAGGTAGGTAGTCCGCATACTCCAGATTGGTCAGTTTGTCGTCTGGAAGACGTTTCCACTCTGGTAGAGTCTGAAGGACAGCGTCATTCATGACCGTTTCGATCACAAAGTAGGAGGAAATGACAACCTTGGCGAGCTAGACTTGTCGTGAAGGCAGCTTCTTGTAGACTCCTACACGGCGCCTCGGGAATCACGGTACAGACTGCACAATGGAAAGGAATTTAGCCGGCACGCTCATCATGGACAAGCAGTGCCACAATGCGAGCCGTAATCGAAGGCGACTTTCAAGTCAAGAAAAACAACCATAGTCGATCGACTGTATGTGTCTATTCTACAATTTGGCGAAGAGTAAATACGTGGTCAAAGCAACCACGACCAGAGTCGAAGTAACCCTGGCTCTCAGTGATTCGGTTCTCATGGAGATGAGTAAATTGCCTGAGAATGATAGCCGTGAGAAGTTGGGAGGTAAAGGAAAGAAGGCTAATGCCTCGATGATTTTCCCACAAAGTACGCTGACACTACTTGAAGATGGGCAAAAACGGTAAGAGCTGCCAATCTGAAGGTACTTCATCAGTACCACAAATCGCTTTAAATAAAGAGGCAAATCCGGTCAACAGTCAGCAAAGATGGTGGAAGACCGTTGGGTCCCGGAGCCTTTCTTTGTTACAACAAAGAAAGCTCATGTCGAATCTCTTTCAAAGCAAAAGGTATGACATCTACTTCTCACGTCAGCCCAAGGGATTCGGCAAGCGGCAGTGTTGCAGCAGCCTGCAGAACTGCTCCTTAAAATGTTCCGCCCAACAGGATGGTCGACGAGGATGAGAATGAAGTAACTGTTTATCTCTTACGTCTAATGTCTCGCTAACTGATGGGTTTGTTGAAATCGTATTCCGGATGAGCTGGAATAACACTCAGTTGTTCCCAATAGCACTGGCTTTCTCCATCTCACGGGCCTTAGCCACCCACCAGCGCTCGCAGTCTATTCGAAGATACCTTGTTAGTCCTCATTTCAGGGAGTTATGAACATGTTGAAAGTCAGTGGCTATCGGAATCTGCTTTCTAGCTTCGCGCAAGCTGATACATGTTCAGAGACCCATTCACCGTTCGGACGTCTCAAAATTGGCGTACAGCAGGCGGCAAAGGCGCTCTTCATTGCACACTTGAAACGATTCCAGCCAGTCTCTGGTTCGCCAACTTCATTCATCACTGACATTTATTGGGCCAGTTCGTCTTGTTTGGGTTGGGCTGTGAAGTGCGAGTTCAAGTTACAGGTAAGGTTAGAAGATAAGCGCTTCTTGGTAGCGGAGAGAATGAGCGTGCGCGCACTAGGGCATGGACGGAATCCAGGCACGCACTCCAAACTGACCGACAGTCTTAGACTGACGTGCGCCATCTGTGTCTGATGACACTATGGTCAATTTGGGTCCAGGTCATTGAGGAATTCGGCGGATGCCAGATGACGTGGTGGGAACGTTTGTGCTGGAATGCCGTGCTACCAAAGTAAAGGGTGTGGTCGGCGTACAGTTGCAGGAATCGATCACAACTGACTATTCGGCGTGCAGCGACTCCGAAGTGGCCACCCATGTGTTGCTCATAGTCAGAAAGATGACCAAATTGGGCATTCATGTCATCAGCAACAATGTCAGTATTCATCGACTTGCGAAGAAATGAGTGTTGCCGATAGAAAATGTCTTTGATACCCTCTGAATTGCGATGGAAAGGTAACTTGTTTTCTGAAGCTATTTAACGCACATCAAATCATGACTATTTGAAAATTGCTCAAAGATAACTATTTGCTTTATTCCAACGATCGAAAGTAATTAAAAATAGTATTCATTTTCCGTAGTTAAAAGCAGCAAATGCAATATTTAATATTTAATAAGACTATAAACTAAGATACTGGGGATGGAGGCAATTGTTTATAGTGAACCTGCCTGGTGAGTAACAGCCACAAGAAGGTTGAGAACCACGGCTCTGAAAGCATTCGAAAAGTGCCGATGGATCACGGAAGTACGCAAACAATCGCACCACGTTAAGGTCAAGTCTCGTAGACAATATACTTTCTCATTTCACACGTGCAAGATGGACAATCGACTCTCAGAAGGGAGTGCGTAGATGTCAGGATCGGGGGGAGGGGGATAATAAAGCCACCATGAGAGAATTGATAGGACAAGAACATCAGTTTGCGCAGAAATGAGGGAAAAGGTGTGCTGCAAATATTAAATATTTTGCAAAATCAAACACACAGGAAGTACGCATTAAACGGAGAACTCACTTCATGATGGATTTCGGTACGCTCCCATGAACAGCGGAATAACGAAGTGCCACACTTGATAATGAGAGAAACGTGAATAAATAAGAATAGGCGACTTGCGGTGCAGAGAACAAAAACAAGTATTGAATTTAAATAGAAATACTGGTCATATTCTATATCCCCTAACCCAAGCCTGCTCTCTTCTCCGCACCCTGTGAGAGTTTATCGATTTGAAAAATGCCAAAGAAAACGATGATGTCAGTCACCTCGTACACCGATCTTTGTGAAGGAGTCGGATCAATCTGGAAAAAAACATTTCGTTAATTTAAGACAACTCTAAACCTTCGTCATGAATCTTGTCGACAATTCTACCTGCTATGCATTGTGTGAATTCTACACAGTGTTAACAATGTCGCTGAACGCAAGATTTGCAGCTGTACTTCGTAAACTGTCTTGAAAGCTTGTTTTGTTATTTTCTTCTACAAAACGTCAATTCAGAAAAAGATAAAATATCATGATCAGTACTGTAGTTGCTTTTATTTCGAGTTGTCGAGAAACAAACATTTGTTTGTTGGCTAAACCACTATCATAGTAATCAGTGTTATTCTACTAGTTTTAAGGGTCATTCAGTAAAGATCCACCAGACCAAGTTCCCTTTCACTGAGAATAGCAAATCTTTGCACAGATATCAGCTCTTCTCCACAAAGGTACTACGCAGAACTACACATCCCTCCCATCGTTTTATGCTATTGAATAGACCACATTGGTAGACTTCATCAGATTGGACTAAAAGTCATGACCTGACCTTAGAAATTCGAGTCTCATCGTCAGGAAAATGTTTCACCTTCGGAAATGTCCTCATATTGGAGGTTGAACTGTTTGCTGAGCTTGGCAGATTGGTTGCAACGGTTTCATCATCAATCGAGATGACATATCTTTTGATATTTGGAAATATATGAAAATCAAATGGTGCAAGGTCTGGATAGTATAAAGGATAAGGAAATATTCCATAGCCACAGGACCGCGCTTCTGTCTAGGCTACTTTTGTGTTATGAGCAGGAGCATTGTCATGGAGGAGTAGAGCAACTCTGATAACTATGCGACGCCTCTCTTTCTTGATGGCCATCCTTAGTTGATGTGGTAATGAAGCATAGTATGTTTCGGTAATACTGAGACATATGGGAAGGAAATCCATCATTACCACTCCTTATTGGTCCCAGAAGACTGTGAGCATGACTTTGTTCATTAAAGGTTGGACACGTGCACTTTTGGAGGTACTGAATCAACATGTTTCCTGCAGCTATTTCCCTCCATAAAGTTTAAGAGAGCAAGGACAAACAACAATTTTACGGGATAACCTGAATTCAGATCATTTTGTGTCCGCATTCAGCCGCTTACAGAGAAATCGTGGAAAGATCGATTTACCGGAAACCGAGCTGGACCGGACAATACCCAGATTTCAAGAGTTACTGTTCGAAGAACTATAAACGATTCCTAGTTCGAAAGTGTTTTGTTAGAGCACCCAGAATATGCTCTGAAGAGTCAGTTGAGGCTAAGTTACGATACATCGAGTCTAACCTACGAAATAACGGCTATCCGAACAAATTTATTGACAGGTATGGGAATGGGGTTGCTAAGAAAGAAAAAGGAATGGATATCCCAAACAAAAAGTCTTCATCATGTCAACATAGAAAGGGGGAGAGAACGACAGAAGATTGTGTTACCGATTACGCCAAGCCGTAAAAAGATGCTACTACGCAGCTGAGCTCATATCGTTACCTCAAACCGAGAAGCTCTTCCATGAATCCGATTGTTAACTGAGAAACTGTCTCAGCTCTCTGTCAGACAAGTCTAACAAGACGCACTGCGTACCAAAGTTCCGCTGTTTTGCCCTAATGACACTGAGCTTCAGTGGAATAGGATCTCGGCCGCCATGCAAAACGCAGAAGCATCTGCTTGTGGCACTATCAATCGTCACCGCACCAGTCACTGGATATCCGAGAGGTGGGTAAACCTGTTGGAATCCAGAAGAAACCTCCCGGCTGGCTCTGAGCACAATGTGACCAGAAGGACTACTAGGCGCGAACTAAAGCGGAGCCTGCGTGCTGACAAGGAAGTCTGGTGGACCACTCAGTCTCAAAAAATGGAAAAAGCAGGAACGGTAGGCAATTACCGCAAGCTCCTCCAGCTAATCCGCACCACTGGTATCAGAAAACCAGGCGTCAATGAGACAATCAGAGACAGCGCGGGTGCGCGAGTACACAATAAGGAGCGCCGTATGGCTCGTTGGGCGGAACACTTTCAAGATCAGTTCACCTGGCCCCCTGCTCCCGCACCTCCTCCCACTCAGGTGATGCAGGACGAGCCATGGACGGTTGGTTCAGAGCCTCCGTCGGAGGCCGAGGTCCGAAACGCGATCAGAGCCCTCAATCGTTTTCGTGCCAATGGCCCGGATTCCCTCCCACCTGCACTATTTAAGGATGGAGGAGAGGTCTTCTGCAAAGCACTGACCCTATTCGAATATATCTGGAAGGAAGAGAGTGTCCCGGATAACTGAGGTGAATCGATTATAGTGGCAATATACAAGAAAGGTAGTCGCACAGACTGTTCTCACCCCACGGGTATTAGCCTAACGTCAGTTGTGATAAAATCACTGGTCTTGATTCTTGTTCGTCGCGTCATTGTGGAACGGGAATCTCGGATTAGGAAAGAGCAGGCCGGTTTCCGCCCAGGACGTGGTTGAGTAGACCATATATTCACTTGGCGGCAGGAGCTACAGCAGCACCACGCATACCGCAGACCGACAATAACTGTGTTCCTCAAAATCAAAAGTGCATTGGATTCAGTTGATCGATGCATTCTGTTCGAAATAGTTGAGCGGAAAGGTGTTTCCACGAAATTAGTGGACATCCTACGTGCTCTATACTTGAACACTACAGGCGGCGTCAGGGTCTACGGTGGCCTATCGGATAGCTTTCCGACCACAAGTTGCGTACGCCAGGGTTGTCCGATTTCCTCAATTTTGTTCAATTTCGTCGTGGATTCTATCATGGAGTGTTCCCCTGCGGAATCTCACGATGTAGGCGTTAAAGTGCATCCTGGTGAAATGTTAGTTGATCTTGCATATGCGGATGATATCGTCTTGCTTTTCGACGATGTTGCGATAGCACAATCAAGCATGAATAGCCTGCCTAGAGAGGTCTCATTATTCTGTATGCGCTTCGCACCTTCAAAGTGCAAAGTGTTGCTGCAGGACAACCAGGCACTTTAAGAGTCCTTGACTTGCTAACAAGGAACAAGAGGTGGTTGATCAATTCATTTGCCTTGACAGCTGCATCAGCAACGATGGGCGTATAGAAACTGATGTCAGTTCACGTAATGCAAAGGCCAGAACTGGCTTCTTGAAGCTGCGGCATGTTTCGCGACAGAAGGGAATTCCCTTCGTCTGAAAAATCGTGTATACAAGACCACAGTGAGGGCCGTTTTGCACTATGGTAGTAAAAATTGGCTCTTTCGGTCTGAAGATCTGACGCACCTTCAAGTCTTTGATCATCACTGTTCGCGAAGCATTGCTGGTGTCGGATGGCATCAGCGTGTCCGCAACGATGATGTACGTAGGCGAGTATGAGGTAGGTGGGTGCCGTTGGTCTGTCTCGCCTTCCCGGCTGGAGTCAACGTGACTTGCCTTACGCTTGGCTCGAGACTGTATAGGACATGGCTCGCGACTGACACCAGTGATGCGTCGCCTATTCGGATTGCTTGTTTAAAGTGTCATCTGCGGGGCAATGGCTCATTATGACGCGGGGCTTTGAAAACCGCAAGGAAGCTGTCTCGCCGATGCCGCCTTATGTTTTCAACATGGCTAGCTGTTTGTAACAGTATGTCGTCTACACAAGATGTAAACGCCTTGACACTGAATATTTGCTTAGGGTATTAAGGTTTTCGGGTAAGTCTCCCACTTATTATTCTTTATTCCATAGGGAATCATGGTTGTGTGGCAGCGAAGCAACAGTTCAAATGGCCGATGTACTGCTGTTGTTGATGGTCTATGGCATGTTTGGGAGCTGTCACAGATAGGGCAATATCGTCCGCATACTCCAAATCAAGAAGTCGCTCACCAGGAAGTAGCTCAACATCTTCTAGGTTGTGTCCAGCGAATGCTGTTTCCATGACTTCGTCAACTGCGAAGTTAACTAGAAAAGGTGACAGCGGGCAACCTTGTCTCCCACCGCTTGTGATACTGAAGGGTGGCGACAGTTTGCCATAAACCCTCACTCTGCTAGAACTATGCGCGTGCAGCGCTTTGATGTTTACGTATTTATCAGGCACACTTTTCCTCAGCATCCGGTCCCAAAGCGCACCGATCGACTGAAGCAAACGCATATTTAATGTCAACAAAGAAGAGAACAGTGGGTCGCAAATACAAATGGCGGTGATCCAACAATTGACGCAAGGTGAAGATGTGGTCAATGCAGCCACGACCTCGACGAAACCCGGCTTGCTCTTCACGGATCTGACTTTCACGAGTGCCAGTCATTCTGTGGAGAATGAGAGACGCAAACAATTTAGAGGTAATTGAGATCAGACTGATCCCTCTATGATTGCCGAATTCCGAACGGGAGCCTCCCTTGAAAATTAGGACAATGACGGAGCGGCTCCAGTCTGTCGGGAAAGTCTAGTGGTCCCAAAGTTTTACTAGCAACTCGTGTAAATCATCTGCAAGAGCAGATCCCCCGAATTTGAAGGGGGCTGGAAGAATCTTATCTGCCCCGGTGGCCTTATGCAACTTCAACAGCCTGATCTCACATTCGACTTCTATGCGTGAGGGCGGATCAAAGGATACGGCCCAGGTAGAAGGGCGCTCAATGATTGAAAAAGAAAGCGATAACTCAAGTTGGTTAAATTGCCTTGCAAAGCGTTCGGCTCAACGCTCCAAGCATTTCGACAGTCTGTGGATCGGCTGTCCATTCTCGTAGCGTATGGTCTCGCTAACACACAGGTCTGCTGCTGCCTGTTTCCCGTATCCGACGGAATAACTTACAATGATAACCAACGGCAGCGGCTGTTTCCATCTCCGAGGCACGATGAGACCACAAGGCTTGGCGGTCTTTTTTCAGGTAAGCACGCACTTCTGCCCTGAGATTTTTACGAGTCTCATTGTGTTCGCTTAGAGCTGGAATACGTCGGCGAGCATCCATAAGTTCCAAAAACTATGTAGAGACCCAATGTCCAGTTTAGCAATTTGATTTGCCACATGAAGACACCCCTGCTGATAGTAACATTTGGCGAATATGCATCTAGTGATATTCGACGGTGTTCAGTGGGGCTTACTCAGCCCGGATGTTAGCACACTTTGGTACACATTCAGAAGACCTAACTTCGACAGCTGGTTGGTGCCAATCCGTTCATATCGACGTTGCAAACGTCCACCGAAACGCTCCCGCAGCTCCGCGCAAACAAGTGAGTAGTCAGAGTCCACGCTCGTGCTCCAAATCGAGCGACAGTTTTGGACAGTCTCTCCAGCGGTAACTGATCGCGATATGATCGATTTGCGTCCATGGCTGGTGCGAGGCTGGTGGGCACCAAGTCGCGCTTCTGCGGGTGCTGTGCCGACATTTTGTGCAGCGAGAAAGAGACGAGCATCTCCACACAGCTGCAGCAATCGCTCACCATTATCATTACGGGAGCCTACACCATGTCGGCTGCTCAGATGAAGCGATTCAGAGGACAATTTTCCGGCTTGGGCGTTTAGATCGCCAGCCAACACCACAGTATCCGTGCTTCTTCTGTTACGAAAGAGATCGTAAAGTTGCTGATAGAAATCATCTTTCACCGAATCAGTGCTACAGTTTGTAGGGGCGTATGCCACAATGACAAACAGGCACCGTTTGTCCCGCGCGACTTCGTAGCATTGAACGAACCAGCTAATCTAACGGCGCACATCGTACTGTTTACTGGGATGCAATCGATCAGGGCAGCTTCAGTCCGGGGACTCAAAACAATGTCGACGTCAGCTTGACCGGCATTTGAAACCGCATCATCGATAGATAGGTGTAATGAGAACGTGCCGCCAGTGTCGCATGTGGGGGATCACAAGGTAAGCAGGGAGCTCGAATCTTGCGGGAGGGCTTCTGATAAACAGCAAATATCGATCGAGAGGATCTCTTGTGTGCGGGGAAGTGCTGCCTGTTGGCCAATCTGTAGCAAAATGCGCAAGTTGAGGCATGCCAGACGGATGAATTGACGTTGTCCGTTTGGTTGAATATGGACTTGTCGACTGGATTGGAGCGACGCCCTGCGATTGTGCGTGAGTTGAAACTAGAAGACAATAGGCTATTGAGGCAAGGTGGGGGAGGGCCAAGAATTGGGGGATTGAAAATGGGGGGATAAAAGTAAAGTTGGAGCGGAACGATAACGATGAAAGAGGGCAAGAAGGGGATAAGAAGACGGAAAGACCTGAGCAGTAGCATCCAATCCCCTATCTACCCTGCTTGATGCAGCAGATAGGGCGCTGTTGATTATCCTCTGCCACAAAATCAGTAAAATATTAAGGATAATTAAGAAAATCTTAGGGAAAAAATACCGTACTGGTTGACAAGTCGGTTTTAGAAGCTATGATATCAACAAAGCACAAATGTCGCAGAGCATTGTAGTAGTGTACGGTTGCTTCACGGTAAAATGGTTGATCCCATGAACGGTTTTGGGGAAAAAACCATAAGTGTGACTATAGTAATGTTATGAGCAAGATGATCGCATTCTGACATTAAGAACAATTTCGTTAAACTCGATGGCGATTGCGATGTTGCATCCGATGGTCCAAAAGAACCTCAGTACCGGGGAGTGAAGTGTCATTACCGATATCAGGGAAGGAGGCTGTAATTTGGTTTCATAACTGTTCGCCCACTCAACAACTGCAATAAGCTGATATCTGCTAGAACGCAAAACATTTCTGAGTGGTTTCCAATCTATCGTAGTCGGGAACTACTGCGTAGCGCCTGATTTAATACTGTCGAGTTGTAAAATTTGGTTGCAGTGTTACAAATAGGGCCAGATTGTGCAATCCGTACCATTACCAGTAACTGCAATAGAAGCGAAAGTCTTCACTAAAACGAGTAGTTTAACAAGTTGAGTATGATTCCCCACCGGATGCGATGCACATCCGGATTTAGCTTTTATAAACTAACAATTCGGCTCCTTTTAGTACACGGACCACTGTATTGTCAGGATATGCCCCAAGTACTGCAGTAAGGCCAACCAATTTGCGCAGGCAAAATGATAATTCGGAACTGTCAGAGTGTGAAAATCTTCAAAAGAAAATATTGTGAAGCTTCAATCGTCGTTGTATTCAACGGATTTTTAATGTAATACAGTTTAATGCGGGTCCTTCGTTGGCTACCTGAATTTCTGTTTGAATCTGATCTTGGCAGCAGCGTATTCATTACTGCTGGGCGGTCGAAATTAAACTTCAAACTTGCCGTATTTTTACTTATACCAATCGATGCAATAGGAATGATACACACGTTGTGCCACTGCATGCTCTTCACTTTCCTGTCAATTAGGACACGTTTGTAATTTCATTATGTATTCTATCCGCAATCGTAGGTTATAGTACTGAAAATGCAGCGCTTATTCTGATACAATGGAGCTTGGCTACGAAGAAGAGCCATAGAAACCACTTCAATGCAGCGTATAAGGGGGATGCACGGAGATAACTTAACCTCTTATCATTGGTCTGTGTGGCATATGTAGCCGCGAGGGTACTCGGAGTGCCACCGGAAGAAGCGTGCGGGAGCATTGAGGCACACAAACCGCTGAAACATGTTACGATCCGATCGCATCACGACGCAGATAGTGAGGCATCATCCGAAGTACAATGGATGCAATCCTCGGCAGTCGAGTCATTGTGATGGCGCACCGCAAGATAAGTGTAGATGGGAATGACTGACTAGGGTGCCCACAGCTCGGGTAAAACCAATGCGAACGGTGTTGTGACAATAACCAGTGTGTTGGAAACCGATACGATTACGACATACCATTGCCTGTGAAGTCATACTTACCATAAAAGCAAATTGCTACGTCCCGCGATCATAGTCCATGTAGTTCCGTTATCTAGAGAATACAAGGACCCCGTGTTTTCAAAGCAGATGAGGTGAACGAAAAGCAAGTAACGGCAAAAACAAGAACGTAACGAAGGCGGGAGAATGTGTGTTCAAACAGCAGATAGGCCCTCCGTCCACCTGGAGGATAAATCGGTGATGGACTACCAATAAGAATAAGAAAGTCGCTAAAGTCAATCAAGGACGTGTTAATAATTTTAAGTTCAAATTCTGATCTTACGGTGAAAGTTATGCGTACAGTAAGAACTGGTAAATGTACCCTGTACCAATCAATAAAAAGTCATTCAAGATGGGGACAAGATAACTTGGTAGATGGGATGGCGTGCCTTGAAATTCTTAATGAAGGAAGGCGTAAAAGCAGCTAGGATTTACAGAAGATTACGGTCACAATATGACGGTAAGAGACTCAGTCGCGGTGCAAGCCCTCTACAGTTGATCGTACGTCTATCATTGGCAATCCAAGTAAAGGTATATCTCGGATCACAGCAATCGCTCTGTAGGACCCACGAACAGGATCAACATGGCAGAGTATCCACTACACGCATTGGATTTGACCATCAACAAATCGAACCATCTATCAACGTTACCCTGGCGGCTGCGTGGTGCGCTTTAGTTCGACGATTCATCAAATGCTGCTCTTGTATTTCTTCCTACCGCACATGCATCTGTGGCTAAAAAGCGTTCCTCTTAAGTTACGACCGAGCTGGGTTCGTTGCTGACCCGTTACCACCTGGTTGGCTCGTTACACATATACAGCTGATTTCTGATGCAGTAGTATCAGCTGCTGGCTCAATCAACTCCTGAGAACACTCAGGTTATCCTCGACAGTAGTCGCATAAACCATAGAGAATTTGCAAACCTACTAGATCTTTTGTTTGGAACAGCAATCAATAATGCAAAATCTCTTGCTGTTCCGAAAACAGCGAACCACATAGGTTGGAAAATTGTTTTCCGCTTTTAACCAGCATAGACAAATTGAAGTTAGAGCTGAACGGGAGGACTGTCATGAGATGGAACGCCAGTATCTCCTGGAGCTGATCGTCACAGGCGAAGAAACATAGGCTCCCTATTTCACTATAGAATCAAAAAAGAGATCCGAAGCAAAAAGTATTTTTACTACACATTAGTTGAAGGTTAGAAACACACTCCAACTATTGTGCCGCACTACTTAAGGCAAGAGATACGAAAAAGGAAGATAATAAACAGTATGGAATGCACAAACAGTCAACACACTGCTTAGGAACATATTGTGCTTCGATGGATAGATCGTGGTTGGAGAGGGGAGATAAGAAACTCACAACACAAACATCACTGAGGTCGGATCTTTGCCATGTCAACATGTGAATCCAACCAGATGTGTTCAGTGTCCTTTCGACTCCAGCACGACAGTCAGGAAACACCAAACAATGCCAACTTCGAAGTGAGGGACTTCATTCCACTTGACCAAGTCATCACTTGGCGTCTTCACCTCTTCTTTCATTCGCACCCACGGCGCGCAATCATACGTTGCGTGAGTCGGTGGGCTGGCATGTGCAACACGTCGACCAGCCATCGGAGCCTGCTGCGTGATTTAAAGATGCTGACCGGTTTATTCGCTCATCCTGTACCAAATGCGAGACGCCGAACACGCTCATTGCTAAACTGCGAAGGCAGCGATGATCGAGCGTAACTAACCTCTGTATGTCTGCTGATCTACTGGGCCAGATTTCATAACATATAGTAGGGTTAAACAGAAGGCTGCATTGTAACCTCTGTCCTTTAGGGCGAGAGTGATGTCGCACCGACGCCATAGGTTGCGGAAATTTGCAAAAGCACCTCCAGCTTTTGCTATAAGGTTTGCAATCTCATCTTCCATTCCACTGGCGTTGGTATAGCTGGCTAGATGCTTGAATTTCCCGGCGACTTCTAGCTGACAAACAAGGGTCATTTCAGGAGTGGGTCCCTGCCAATTTTGGAAAAGGATTTTGCATTTCGACGATGCAGTGTAGCCCGAGACGACTGACAGCCAGTACTAGTTTGTCCAGTGCTACTTGGCATGGCCGAAAGCTGTCACAGATAGGGACAATGTCGTCGGCGTATTCCAAGTCAAGAAGTCGACCACCCGGGAGCAACTCCAGCCTTGCACATTATGTCCAATGAACGCAGTGTGCCTGTCTTCGTCAATGAAGTTGTTAAGAAGGAAAGGTGACAGCGGGCATCCCATTTTCACACCGCTGGAGATATCGAAGGGCGGAGACAGTTAACCACAAACCTTCAGTTTACCAGAACTATGCGTGTACAGCGCTCTGAGAATGTTTACGTGTTTTTCGGACACACTTTGCCTGCGCAGACAGTCCCAATGGGTACATCGATCCACCAAATTGAAGGCAGCCTTGGTATTGAGGAAAAGGACTACGGTGGCTCATCGATAAATTTAGCGGTGCTAATAGTATTGACATGATTTGAAGATGCGATCAATGCAGCCGCGACTTCGATGAAACCCAGCTTGACCCTCGCGAATCTAGCTTTCACGGGTGCCAGTAGGTTTATGAAGAACGGTTGAGTCTAGTATCTTAGAAGCAACTGAAATCAGACTGATCCATCTATGGTTGCCACTTTCCGAACGGGAGCCACTTATGGAAATTGAGACTATTACGGAGCAGCTCCAGTCTGCTGGTACAGTTTCCTGCTCCCACAGTTTCACAGATAATTTACAAGAGCACGTCTCCCGAATTTTAAGAGAGCTGGGTGGATTCTATCCGTTCCTGCAGCCTTAGTCACGTTCAACAGTCGGATCTCAAGTTCGACCTCTGCATCTAAAGGCTGGTCAGGGGGGACGGCCTAGTGAGAAGGGCAGTCAATGGCCGATGGAGAAGCTGGTAACTCTAGTTGGTTAGGCGGCTTTTCAGTATTCCGCCCAAGCGTTTTAACAAACCGTTGACTGGCCGTCCACCATTGTCACATATGGTCTCGCTGGCACTAGGTCTACCTCTGCACATTTCGCGTGTCAAACGAAAGAACTTCCGATGGGTACCAAGGGCAGCGGCCACTTCCATCTATGGCGCACGATGAGACCAAAAGGATTCGCGGTCTCTCTTCAAGCTAGCACGAGGTTTTGCCAGGAGCTCTTTGCGAGTCTCATGGTGTTCGCTTCCAACTGGAATGTACCGGCAAGCCCCAATAAGTTCCAGAGACTGTAAAGAGACTCAATGTTTATAATCGCTAGTGGATTTACCACACGCGTCTGGTGAACATGCGACCAGTGACCGTTTACCATATTCAGTGAGTGCTTGCTCAACCCGAACGCCAGCATACTTCGGCACGCATTCAGAACACCTAGCCTCGCCAGTTAACTGGTGTCTGCACGCTCACAGGGTCATCAAGGGCGGCCGCCAAAACGCACCCGCAAATCGGCACATACAAGTGCATGGTCAGTGTCCACATATGTGCTCCAAATCGAGCAACAGTTTTAGAGGCAGCCACTCCAGCGATAACTGATCGCGATGTGAACGATTTGCGCCCATAGCTAATTTGAGGCTGGTGGGGGTTATGTCACCTTCCGACGAGTGCTGCGTCGGGAGTGTGCTCGCAAGAAGTAAGCATCTTCACACGAATGAAGCAACCGCTCACCGTTATCATTAAGGGAGCCTACACCATGCTGGTCGCCTAGATTCAGCTTATAAGTGGAGAAGTTCCCAAATTGAGCGTTCAAATCTCCAGCCAGCACTACAGTGTCCGTGCTTCTTCTGTGGCGAAAAAGCTCGTTCAGTTGACGATAGAAGTAGTCTTTTACCGAGTCATCGCTACAGTTCGTGGAGGCGTAGGCAGCGATGACAAACACACACCCACTAGCCCCGCGCGACTTCAAAGATTTGAACGAGCCAGCCAGTTGGACCGCACACATCCGGCTACTGATGAGATCCAATCAAATAGAGCAGCTTCAGCCAGGGGACTCAGGGCAATACTAACGCCGGCTTGGCCGGCAATTGAAACTGCATCTTCACCGGATAGGCGCAATGAGAAAACAATACTAGTGTCATCACCCTCATCATCATAAACGTTAGCTAGAGGTGGGGAACACCTCAGCTACTGTGCGAAGTACATAGAAAAAAGGAGGAAAAATCGCAACTGGTGCAAGCTGACAGCTACCGGTAACGGATGGGCATCATTCTGGTAAGCTACCAGCCGGCTATTGTGCATCAAAAAAATTGCTATGCAAAATTATATAAGGTTAAATAACGAGCTCGTGGTTGGAGGGGGAGGCTAAGAGGGATGGGGTGGGACAAAGAAACTCAGCCGGAACGCCAATGAGGTCAGCTCCTAGCCATATCAGCAAGTGTATCTAGCCAAACGTGTTCATCGTCTTTCGGACCCCAACCAGGGAGCCGAGACGCTCCAACCGAGGCCAGCTCAGAAGTGAGGGCCTTCATTCCTCTCGACCAAGTCATCGCTTGGCCACCCCTCCTCTTCTTCCATCCACACCCCCTGGCGCGCAAACAACGCACGTCGCGGGAGTCGGTGGGCTGGCATGCGTAACACGTGGCCGAGCCATCGGAGCCTGGTGCGTGAAATGACGGTGCTGAGCGGTTCATTTCATTTCCTGTGCCGTAAACAAGGCGTCGAACACGCTCGTTGCTCACGCGGTGTTCCCACCAGATGTGAGCTAAATTGCGAAGGCACCGGTGGTCGAACGTAACTAGCCTCTTCAGGTCCGTTGCTTTAAGGGGCCAGGTTTCACAACCGTACAGTAGGGTCGAACGTACCGCTGCATTGTACACTCTACCCTTCAGGGCAAGAGTGATGTCGCGCCGCCGCCATAAGTGGCGAAGGTTAGCAAAGCGCCTCTAGCTTTTGCTATATGGTTCGTGATCTCATCTTCAATCCCACGGGCGCTGATACAACTTCCCAGGTAGTTGAATTTTTGAACCACTTCTAGCTGATCCCCACCAAGGGTCAGCGTAGGAGGCGGTCCAGACCAATCTTGGAGGAACGCTTTGCACTTCGATCGCGCAA